AAAAACATTATCTGAGGTTCCAGCACGTTTGCAAAGGATGATGCTAAACTTACAGCTTTATGATTTAGAAGTTAGCTATACTCCAGGAAAATTTCTTTTCATCGCAGATACATTAAGTAGGGCACCAGTAGAAGGTCCAGATAATACTGATAGTGGAGATGAAGAGTTACGTATACATGGAAGTTTATTAGTTAACAATTTAGCTGTGTCTTCAAAGAAATTAATGGAAATACAGGCAGCAACCAAAACTGATAGAGTTTTACAGTCAATAATAAGATATTATAATGAAGGTTGGCCAAGTTCGAAAAATAAATTGGAAACGGAGGTTAAACCGTATTAAAATTTCAATCATGAAATACATGTTGTGGATGGATTAGTCTTTAGAGGAAATCAAATAATAATTCCTGAGTCATTGCGTCAAGTTATATTAGAAATAATTCATGAACTTCTTTTAGGATATGAAAAATGTATTCGACAAGCACGTACGGTGGTTTTTTGGCCAGGCATGTCAGTAGATATAAAGAATAAAGTTGAACAGTGTCCAGCATGTCTTAAATATCATAGATCAAATAGTCCAGAACAACTATTACCACATGAAATACCAACTTTGCCTTGGCAGAAAATTGGTGTTGATCTTTTTTATTATAGTAAAGTCACATATATATTATTAGTAGATTATTATTCTAAATACTTTGAAATAGCGCCTTTAAATAATACTTCAGCAAAAGAGGTAATTAGTACAATGAAGTCTATATTTGCGAGACATGGAATACCATTGATCTTAATGTCTGATAATGGTCCCCCATTCTCATCAAAAGAGTTTCAGTCATTTTTAGTAGATTGGGACATTACTTATCAAAGTTCTAGTCCTTATTATCCAAAAAGTAATGGTTTGGTAGAGAGGACAGTTCAAAGTGTAAAAAATATTTTTAATAAGTGTATAGAGTCAGGCTCTGATCCATATCAGGGAATGTTGCAATACAGAAATACAACGTTAGAATGTGGTTATTCTCCAGCTCAGTTATTAATGTCACGTAATTTAAGAATGAAATTACCTGTTAGTGAAAAAATACTCATACCAAAAACAATTGATAGGAACGAATATAGCAAATTTGTTAAGGAAAAAGAAAGGAAAGTAAAAGAATATCATGATAGGTCAGCTAGAAACTTACCGAATCTGTTTGTTGGAGAAAATGTATTTTATAAAAAGGTTCCATCATCACCGTGGTTACCAGCTACTGTGATAGAAATAGGTCCTTTTCCAAGATCATATGTCGTCAGAACACCTGAAGGTGTACATTATCGTAGGAACAGACAACACATATTAAAGCCTGCCAGTACAATTAGTAGACAAAATAGTGAGGTGATAGTTAAGCATGAAAATAGTACAGCAGCTAGTTCCAATTTGTATGAGGCTCCAAATATGAACAACGATACATCAATTTCAAATCAAAGTTATGACAATTTAAATGTTAACTTAAATAGGTCACATAGACTAAATGTAAGTAATCAATTTTGTACCAGGAGTGGTCGAATTGTAAATAGACCAAAAAGGTTTTCATTTTCAGAAGAGTAATGCGGCAGTGTAGTGTTGCGGGTAGATTTAGGTTGTTGGGATAGTTTAGTTTTTTTGTAAAAAAAGGGGCATGTTATGTTATGTGAACCTACCTTAATATTTGTAAACCTACCTTAACATGGGTGACAGGTGAAGGACATTGACAGCGGACAACAGAAGAGAAGAAGATGGCTCGTTAGATATAATCATGTATTAAGTTTAGTTGGTCTTTAATAAAAGATATTAAAAAGAAACTGGTCGTCAATCTTATTAAAAGCCCACAGAGACAACGTAACACTGGGTTAACATCAATGGACTTTTTTTTGGGGGGGGATATATTAAAAGTTTGGTTTATCAAACTCCACCTACAACCGCTGAAGACATGAAAACGCGTATTCGTAATGCGTTTGCAACAGTTACTTCAGAAATGCTAAAAAGAGTAAAACAAAATTTTGAACACAGAGTGAGGTTATGTATTGAAGAAAATGGACACAATTTTGAACATTTAATGTAAATTAATTTTTTTCTAGTGTGTTTTGTTTAACTTAATGTAATAAAGTGTAATTAATTAATTTCAAGAATAGTGCATTTTCAAAAAAAGCCACATTAATCGAAAATTATAAAGGATAGGTATAGGGATTGTTTAATAAAGTAATATTATTTTTTTGATTAGAACTATTGCTATTATATAGCATTGACACTTCGTATTGCGAACACTCTGTAGATTAATTTCAATTGGTAATTATTCTGATGTAAAGCATGGACACTTGAAAATTAATTGACAAAAAGGCATTAATTATAATTGATGCGATATTGTGTAATTAATTAATTTCGCGAATAGTACATTTTCAGAAAAACCCAAATAAATCGAAACCGGTCAAAAATAGGTATAGGGATTGTTGAATAAAGTAACATTATTTTGTTCAGTAGAATTCAAAATTAAAGTGAAATATAGGTTATTCCATTTAAAAAAGTATAAGTTATATCATTACGCCAAATTGGGACACCCTGTATATATCTCACAAATTTTAATTTGTAGCCGGTACTGACCTACGTATTCCTACAAAAGGAATTTTTAATATCTTTAGCCATAGAGCTATATCTAAATACCTTGGATCAATTTTTATTTACGATGTCGAATACTAGTATGTGAGTACTTACAACTGCTATCCCTTATCACTGAATTTAATTTTTACTTTTCAAAAAATATTAATAATAATTAAGTCTCTACACTCACTTTCGTTTTCTTTCATTTCAAACTCTCTTGACCCCTTCCATTAATAACTTTCCTTTCTTTTCATTGGTGAAAACAAATATGCCTCTTTCTTCATTAAAACGTCTTCAAATTTCCCGGAAACTTGGAGGTCACCAGATCAGAAAACATATAGTCAAATTGATCACATAATGATTAATAAACGAAAACAATCGTCAATAAAAGATGTAAGAACATTCAGAGGTGCGTGTGCAGCTTCAGACCACTACATGGTCACAGCCACTATAAGACAAAAAGTTAAAATTGAAACAAAACAAAAAAACCAACATAACAAGTGGAATGTCAATAAAATGAGTAATGAAGAAGTAAGAAAAAATATGAAGAGGCAGTAACAGTTCAAATAAAAGAGAAATATAAAGCAGAAGATATAAACACAGAATGGGAGACGATCAAAAAATCAATAGAAGAAGGTGCAAATATGCAAATAGGTAAAAGTCAGGATAAAACAAAAAAACGGATGGTATTACCAAGAATGTAGAGAAATAACAGAAAAAAGTGCAAGCCAGAAATAAATGGCTAAGAACAGATAAAGAGGAAGACAGAGAAGAATATGAAAAATTAAGAAGGAATGCTAAGAAAGTGATAAGGCAAAATAAAAGAAGATGGGTAGACAAAAAAAAAATGCAGGAAATCGAGCAGGAAATAACAAACAGAAATACGAAAAGTTTTTACAAAAAGATTAAAGAACAAAACACTGGGAAGTAGGGTAGATCATAACAGTACATAAAAAGGGAGACCAACAAATCTGTGAAAATTATAGAGGAATAACGTTACTAAATACAACATAAAAAATATTGATATCAATAATAAAAAAGAGGTTATCAAAGGTCACAAAGAAGACAGTAGGACAGTACCAATGTGGATACATAGAAGGAAGATCTACAATAGATGCAATACACACAATAAAACAAATAATGGAAAAACAAACGAGTATAAATTAGAATTGGAAATGTTATTCATAGACTTCAAACAGGCATTTGATTCAATTAAAAGGAACGGATTAATGATAGCACTTAAAAAATTAAAAATTCCCCATAGACTCAGAAAATTAATAGAAATGACAATGAGAACTACAATAATAAGCATAAAGGCACAAAGAGGGGAGACAGAGAAATTCAGTATAAATAAAGGGATGAAACAAGGAGATGCCTTATCAACAACGCTATTTAATCTAGCATTAGAATAGGTACTGCGAAATATAAATAAAGGAAATCTCAGAACAAGAGGTGGTCAAATAATTGCATATGCAGACGATATTGCTATTATTTCAAAGAACAGAAAAATAATGAAAGAAATGCTTGAAGAAATAAGAGAGAAAGGGGAGGTAATGGGGCTAAGATTAAATCAAGAAAAGACAAAAATATTAAGAAGAAATCAAAATAGGAAGTTCTGAGTTTAAAGAAGTAGAATGCTTTAAATAACTAGGAGTTACAATAAGTAAAAACGGAGAAAGGAAATCTGAAATAAAAGAAAAAATATTAGCAGCGAATAAAACTTATTTTGCAAACAAAAGATTACTTAAAAGCAAAACACTGACTAAAAAAAGTAAGATGAGCATTTATAACACCATAATTAGACCAATCTTATTATATGCAGGAGAAACAATGACGATGGTTAAAAAAGATGAAGAAGACTTAAGAATAGCAGAGAGAAAGAGTATGAGAACCATACTAGGACCAATCAGAACAGAGCAAAATGAATATAGAAGCAGAACAAATGCAGAAATTAAGAAAGAACTTAAGGAAGACATCGTAACTAAAATAAAGCAATGCAATGAAAAAATGTTAAAGTACTTTAACATTTTCTAGGAACTAAAAATTTTCGACCTTTTCCAAACAACCTATTTCGTTAATCTTACGTTTAAACACAAATTGTTCTTAAATGCACTTCAAAACCAATAAACAGTTTCATGAATATTATCGATTAGATTACAAATATGTTAACAAAGACAACTTTGTGCTGAATAAACCAACACCTATGTTAACAATAGACAGACAAATAGGTATTTTAAATTTTAAATGCAAGAAACAAATATTTTTTTAAAAACTACTTTAACGTATTACAAAATTACAAATTGTATGTATACAATAGATAGACTTTCTTTTTCTCTGCCTTTATTTATCTACAATAATATATGTATATTGTTTTGACTATATTAATAATATTTTTAAGGTGTATTACAATGGATACCATGGAGATTGTTCAAAAACAATTTTAGTTGGTAATGTTGATGACGAAGGAAAACACTTAGTAGAAGCCACAGAACTCTGTTTAAATGAAGCAATTAGCATATGTAAACCCGGTACTTATTTTCGTGACATAGGATATTGTATTCAAGAAAAAGCCGAAAAACTTGGATTCCAGGTTATACCTTCATTTATTGGACATGGCATAGGAAGATATTTTCATGGACCCCCGGATATATATCACATGAGTATGTATATCGTTTGAAAGAGTTAACAGAAACCACAAAGAAATCTTTTTAGTCAATTCTTGAATTAAAATCCTTTGCTGTGCCATTTAAAAAGATCAATACTGTAGTAGGTAATAATATAATTTTCCTGGTGTCTTTTATAGCTTTCCTTACGTTTACATTTTTTTCTGTTTGGTATACATGTATTGTCATTTGGATGAAATCCAACTAGCGACGTTATATGTTCGACAATCAGCAGTTTATTAAAATAAAAGTTTATGGTGTGACTATCGAAATTTTAAATATATCATGCATAATAAAAATTATAATAAACTGTCCAACATCTTACCGGCGCTACCAGTTATTTGTTGCAAGTAAATATAAGGAATGGCATGATCCAGTGAAATATCCCATCAAATAATAGATATCAAACTGGTACTTCTCCAAACCAACTATCTCATCAACATATTATCAATATATTTCTGAGAGCATTCTTGAGAATGAAAACACAAGTTAAAATGGGACCGCACTGTGCTCACAGACCAGATAGCACATAATAGACCAGATACGAGAACGAGACAAACAACACTAATTGATGTGGCGATACCTAACGAGAATGAAACAAACAACACCAATTGATGTGGCGATATCTAACAACAATAATCTGGATGTTAAATACAACGAAAGGATCGCCAAGTACAGAGATCTGGAAATTCAAATACTAAGACAATGGAAAGTACTCAGACAATACCTATTATTCTGTCTACAACTGGAATCATTCCTAGGAAGCTCTTAGAATATATGAAAAAGCTAAGTCTGAATGAATCTCTCTATACGAGTGTTAATGTGTGGATTTGGAAATTAAACAGTCGTACTTTACTACTAATATAAGGCTTTATTACCTATAATATACATACTAATCAACTAACCTAACTTAAGCCTATATCCATGCTTCTTACTACTCCTACTTCATGATACTCATTGACATTACTGTCTGTCATGTCAACCCATGATACTATGGGTGCGTTCCACTTACACTTACACCAATATACATACTGCGTATGCAGTATAAATGTATTACATTCTCAACACGCTTCCTTACATTTACATTGTATTTACATTAATTCAAATTTAACATACTTTAAAATTAAGGACTTCGTAAAAATATCTGCAATATTATCATCAGAATCTACTTTAACCACATTTATAATATTTTCTTTAACATAATCATTTACATAATGATAATGAATTTCAACATGCTTAGAATTTTTTGTAAAATTGTCATATTTACCTATACTAATCGTACCAGTGTTATCTTCATAAACATCAATTGGCTTTATTTAATCAATATCAAATATTTTCAACAATTCTTTTACAAATATTAATTCACTTACTGCTTCTGTCAATGCTACATACTCTGCAAAAGTTGAAGATTTTGTAACGCTTTTTTGTTTTCTAGATTTCCAATAAATTACATTACGAAACAATCTTATTACAAAACCAGTTGTAGATTTTCTATCTAAATGATCACCTGCCCAATCGGCATCCACATAACAATCAATAATACCTACTTTTTCATTTTTGTTATAAAACAATTTTAAATCTTTAGTTAAGTATAAATATTTCAAAATTCGTAAAGCATATTTAAAGTGCGTTTCATTATAGCAATTGTGAAATCTACTCAGATAATTTACGCTGAAACTTATATCAGGCCTTGTTGCCGAACTTATGTATAATAGTGCACCAATTAAATTTCTATATTTAATATTTCTTTCACAATGATCAGATTTATCAATTTTTAAATTTACTTCCATATGTGTTATACAGTTTACCTTTTTCTAAATTATACTTTTTACTTAATGATTCAATATATTTATTTTAATCCAATCTTATTTCATATTCACTAGAATCATAATCTACAATAATACTAAGATATTCTTTAATGTCTTTCATTTAAAATTTTTCTGATAATAAAATTTTAATCATTTTAATTTCATTTAAATTTCTACCACAAATCAATAAATCATCAACATAAATTAATAAGTAAATAATATCATTTCCATTTTTATAAACATAATACAAACAAGGATCAATATTACTTCTTTCAAAACCTAAATTTATCAAAAATTTATCTAGGCACTCATATCATGCCCTTGGACTTTCTGTTAAACCATATAAAGCTTTAACTAATTTACAAACTTTACTTGATACATCTTCATATCCCTTAGGCTGTTTAATATAAACTTCAGAAATAAATTACTATACCATTTAAAAAAAAAGGCTGTTTCAACATCCATTTTTTCAATTACTAGGCCCATTTGACAACAATATGACAATAAAATCTTTAACGTTTGCATTTTAGCCACAGGTGAATAAATATCATCAATTTCATCAGTTTGTTGAAAACCTCTAACAACCAATCTAGCTTTATAAGTATTATCAGACTTTTTAGTATGAACCCATTTAACATCCAGAATATTTTTGTTTGTATAATTTTTAACCAATTTCCAAGTTTTATTTTTATTTAAACTATCAATTTCTTTAAATGAAATCGTAGGCTTCCACGGCCAGAGTCAGAATTATAGTTTATTCGTCTTCCGGGTTTGGACCGTGTCATTTGTGAGTGACCCAAAAGTGGGTTCATCTCGACGTTTCGCTACAATTGTATGTAGCTTCTTCAGGAGAACAAAGAAAAAAGAAATCAAAAGACAGGAAGATGGGTAGTTAGCAACGGTAACTCAGTTACTCAACGCAACCAGAGGCGAATACTAACTACCAAGATGGGCATTTGGTCACAGTAACTCAACTACTTAACGCAGCCAGAGGTGAAAACCAAATGCCAGGACAGGGATTCACGTCCAACAGCTCAGAACACTAACGCGTCGAGAGGCGGGGAGTGAATCCAATCGGATTCACTCAAAGTGAAGCGCTGTTCCGCTCTTCGTTCTTCTGTCCTTGTGGGTAGAACCATGATACTATGAATAACAAGATAGGATCTTCCCGTAGCTCAAAATCGGTCGGGTTCGCGCATGCCGTCATTGGAGACTAGAATTTGAATTCTTGTTAAAGTTAAATGAGATTTGTATGCATTCTGTGATGAAATTACTAGACGAAAATAAGTTAAGAGGTTTAATAATTACAATAATCGTACACATAAGGATATCTCCAAACTATTTATTAAAGATTATTTATTGATATATACAAACACTGACCTTTCGAACGTGCAAGTCTCCAATGACGTCACAAAAACATGCGCAAAATCTTATCTTATAGTCATAGTATCATGGGTAGAACCGCTGTGCACTTGTTCCAGGCGTTCCGCGCTGCCCACGTGAGTGGCCATGTCCCCTGACGTAGTTTCCTCTTCCGGCTTCTTGTCGACCTCGCGTCTCAAGGTTAGTAGATATTTCAGTAGGTTGCCTCGTAACTATAGACCAATCAAATGCTCGCTTTTTAAAGGCGGGAATACGTCACCCATACGACACTTTTAAAATTGTCATAAGCTTCAATGCTAATAAAAGGTTCAAAAACTTAGGTTTTGCAATATATTTTGGGATTTTCTTGGGTATAGGGATGTTAAGTGGCTTTTATATTAGTAATTATATCAATTTTTTTTTCTTAAATCAATAGTCTGATGACAAAAAATAGAATTGATTATATTGATAATATTGTGTGTTTTAAATGGAGATAACAGTTTATTTCGGACAAAAACCCAAAAAAACATTAGAAAAAGTTCAAAAGCGAAAATACTAAATATGTAGGAACTTACTTTTTATGTTTTTCCTGGAATTTGCAGCATTCTTATCATATCTAGTGGTAGGTAAAAAAAACAAATAGGTAATATAAATAATTTATTATTAGATTAAAATACAAAAAATGATTAGTCCTTCAAGCACGAATCTTCCAGCCACAAAGCCACTCATTTAAAAAATATTTCATTATTATAACGTACAAAACTACATATAATTGTTAGACAAACCTTGATATCACAGCTACGACAACACACTTCACAAGTGTTTATATACGAACGTGAATTTAAACTCAGACATGTAGACAACTGTCAAATTTGACGTTGTCGTATGAGTGACGTAAGCATTCTGCCTTCCCCTCGCTTCGCCCACATAGTTACGAGACAACTTACTTAAATATCTACTAATCTTGCTCGCGTCTCGCGTATCTCTCTACGAACATCTGCTGTTTGTCGTTTGTCTGCCATTACCTGGCGCTTGATTGGCGCCATGTTTGCAATCTCGCTTGAAATGACCAACTTCGCCACACTGGAAGCATGATCGATCCTGTCGACCTTTATTCACCACAAATGGACTGGATTTTCTTCTAAAATCATTCTTTTGATTTTTTAATTCGGACATCATAACCTTAGCTTTTACCTAGTCTGCAGTTTGATCCTCTTCTTTTAATGTATCTATTAAATCACCAATATAACTGTACGACTCTGACAACGTGTTTAACATATAGTTCAATTTTTCCTTTTCAGACACACTAGCACCCGCGCTTTTTTAGTCGTTTATAGCTCTTTCGATGTCACTAAAAAATGTTTAACAGTCTCCATAATTGTTCAATTTTAATCTCTCCAAGTTATTTCTACATACTATCTGCAATGCCGTAGTTTTTTCGTCGATATACTCCATGTGTCTATCCAATATTGCATCACATATATAATTCATTGCTTTTACATCATCGTCATCTCAGTCTGTATCATTTTCATTTTTCGGTCTCGTTGCCACAACATCACATTTCTTTATTTTTAGTTTTTTCCACATTTTATAATTCTCCCCATCGAATATAGGTATTCTAAGGGCGAGCGCCCACCAAAGTGGGGTGGCAAGTAGCACGCGTCTAGCATGTTTCTTAAAATGTAACCAATGAAAAAGAATGATTAGAATTAATGACGTCACTGTCATTTTGGTGTACGCTAAATCATTCGTTTTCATTGGTTACATTTTAAGAAACATGCTAGACGCGTGCTACTTGCCACTTGCTACGTGCCACGCCACTTTGGT